CATCCAGCCTCTGCAGAAGCGTGACACTGGGACCAGGCCTGTGCCATTGCCTCTGTGGAAGGGGCAGCACGGGGACCGGGACTGCGCAGCCTCCACTCCCGCGTTGCCTCTGCAGAAAGGGCCGTGGCACTGGACCAACCCATGCCAAGGCCTCTCCTGCACCACCTCTGCGAAAGGGGCCATGGCGCTGGACCGGCCCATGCTACTGCCTCTCCTGCACTGCCTCTGCGAAAGGGGCCATGGAGCTGGACCAGCCCATGCCGCTGCCTCTCTTACACTGCCACCTTTCCTGTGCCGCCAGCCCTCTGCCCTCGCAGCCACTGAGGCTTTGTCCAGAAGGACATCCAGAAGGACATCTAGAAGATGTCCAGTTTATCCAGTCTAATTAGCATATTACCCTTTTATAAGTACAGATACCTAGTAATAACTGTAATGAAAATAAGAAAGCAGAATAGTAATTTTGATATATAAAAGATAAATACATATATTCACAAATGTTCAAAAAACTTATGCAATACATTTTCTCATTTATTTTATAAAATTCCCTTATCTGTGGGAATGGAGCTGTTTATTTCCTGAAGTTTTTTCTTATACATAATGTATTTCTTTATTATAACAGTAAGTGCTGCATTCTTTTTTATATTTAGTAGAGGCCTGGTGTACAAAATTCATGCATGGAGGAGGGGGGGGAGGGTGTCCCTCAGCCCAGCCTGCACCCTCTTCAATCTGGGACCCCTTGGGGGGTGTCTGACAGCCAATTTAGGGTCAGGGATGGGGCCTAAACTGGCAGTCGGATATCCCTCTCATAATCCAGGACTGCTGGCTCCTAACCACTCGCCTTTCTGGCTGCCTGACTGCCCTTAACCACTCTTCCTGCCAGCCTGATAGCCCCCTAACTGCTCCCCTACCGGCCTGATAGACACCTAACCACTCCCCTGACGGCATAATTGACATCAAACTGCTCTCCTGCTGGCCCAATTTCCCCCAAATGCCCTTCCCCTGCCAGCCCAATCACCCCCAACTGCTCTTCCCTGCAGACCTGCTCCCCCTTAACTGCCCTCCCCTGTAGGCCATCTTGTGACATGAGGTTGTGAGGGTCAATTTGCATATTACCTCTTTATTATATAGGATGGGTGTTTGTTTTGTCAGTAATACATAGTAAACTTATCTAAGTCTTTTCTTCATTATATTGAACTAGGGGCCCGGTGCACGAAATTCGTGCACTGGGCGGGGGCGGGGGGGAGTGTCCCTCAGCCCAGCCTGCCCTCTCTCACATACTGGGAGCCCTCAGGCGTTGACCCCCATCAATCTCCAATCGCAGGATCGGCCCCTTCCCCAGGCCTCGC